GTAAGGGTGTACTTAGTTTTTTTCACACATCATTTCTCCATTTTGCCTGTCCTAATACTCAAAACCATAGAATTCAAAGAGGGTGTACTTTCTTTTTCACACAACTGTGTATATATAGAAAACCAATCACTAGAATGTTCTATAAGTTAACATTTTAATTTATTTAATCATTCTTTTTCCTTTTTAAAATTTACCGTTCTCACTAAAATACCTACATCTGGGCAACTGCTCCAGATTTTAATAAACTCCCCTCTGTGGGACCACAGGGAACATGCCCCAAAATGAAGAGATCATCTCAGCACTTGCTACATGTGTTGTAACATTTCACCTCCTAGCGCCAGTTCAAGCGCTGCAAATGCATTCGTTTTTGCTTTTGATTGTTGAACTTTTGAAGCCGCAACCAATCTTGATAATGCCGTCTTTTTTCAACAACTGAGGAACCTTTTGAAATAATTTTCAGGTCTCAAGGAACCAATTCTAAAACAATTATATATTGGTGCCAGCAGTAAGTTGTAGATATAATAAATAAAAGAATAAAGAATGTGGTGTGGCATACTTAGTGGATATGTCATCAGGAGTAGAACAATTTTTAACACCACACACCTCCTGACTTTCTTAATCTCAATAATGATCAGGAAATTAAAGTAATAATAAGAATGGACAGAAAGGTAGGGAAGTAGACAGCTAAAATGGTAATTGGTGTCTGTAGTTATGTGAGAGAAGAGATAAGAGGTTCCACTAGTCCCACACAGCTGGTTCTGCTGAGTGCCATTGGTGCCAGAGAACTATGGAGAAACCTTCAGCATGGAGATCAGCCTGCCACTGCTCAGTAAACCCGTAAGCAGGCCATACACCACATGAATTCAAGAAGTGGCCAAAATTCGCACAGTAAGTGGCCCTATTGGCACTCTTCTGACCTTTTGATAAGAAAATAGAAGGAGCTGGTAGGAAATTTTTTGTGGAACTGGTTTGGGCCGCTGTCACAATACTCCAACTGTGATGGCAACTGATACAAAGGACACAGAGGGAGATTTCTCCATCCATGCGTGGAATATGTTTTCTTTTCGTTCAGCCCACAGGCTGAACAAAACAAAAATAATTATATCTGTGTTTGGCCAGCTTTAGCAACCTATAAAGGAACCCCAGGGTTCTACAGAACACTGATTTAAGAAATATGAATGAGAAGTATGCATAATTGACAAGTTAGCACTGTAGACAGGCAATTTTGTGTACATTGCCGTGGCCATAATGCTTTGCAACCTGGCAAAAATTAGAAAGCTTGCCACTTTTAGCAGGCATTGTTGTATGCAAAACGCAACCATTGATGTGAATGAAACCACAACACACACACACACACACATACTATACAATATAAAGCCCACCCTGCGATAAGAAAAAACAGTCATTCAGGAGATTCGCTTTTCCGAATGCCTGGAGGTCACTGCTCTTCCACCCTCTGAAAAGTGATCCACGGCAGATCACTTTTAGAGGGGAGGTAAAGTCCACCTCTTGTGTGACCAAGGCCTTAAAACATGTTTGAAACACAAGTCCCATGTGGAAAAGCACAGCCCAACTACCTAAGCCCCAGGGTGCCTGATTGTACCTCTCTTATAACCAAGGGCCTTATAGCAGTAGCTCTCTTGTTTTTATCAACACACCTTAATTTTCAATAGCTACACCTATTTGTTCTGTAACTTTACAATCATTAACAAAACACACATGTTCTGTAGAGGATTGAGAAATCTCACATTAGCAAACTAAAGTACAATGCTGTAGCTATCAAACAAGATTATCTGAGGCAAGCCTTGCATTATGACATCCATATGCTTAGTTCATTTGGGAGCGGTTTTCTCTTTACAACACACAAAGGGACCATGGGGAACAATATATGTGTGTGTGTGTGTGTGTGTGTATGTGTATGTATGTATATATGTACTTATGTGCATATATATGATATATTTTAGGGATGCACCAATATATATCGGCCGGCAAAACATATCGGCGGAAAATTGCACTATTGACATAATGCAGAACGTGCCATTTTCTGGCCGATACAGCGCTGCATCCATTCTTTCTCTCCTCCCTGCTGGGCGCTGCTCTGTGTCCCAGCAGGGAGGAGAAAAACTGTCACAGGTGGCAGAGCGCTGTGAGCGGCCGGCGTCTCTTCCCCCCACACTGCTCAGCCTCCTGTCACAGATCAGAGGAGAGCAGTGAGGGGGCGGAGACAGCCAGTGCTGTCACAGGAGGCTGAGCTCTCCTCCCTGCACCGCTCGCTCAGCCTCCTGTGACAGCTGTCCGGAAGGCGAGCGAGGTACAAACACTCAGTGATCGCTGAGTGTCTGTACATAATTGAGGACAGAGTATGTTTACTATATTCTCAATTATGAATGAATTGGAAGTGATCTACATCACTTCCTGTTCATTCATGATTGTGGTTATAGTAAACACACTCTGTCCTCATGTTATGAATGAACACTCACAGAGGATTCCGGTTCATTTTATAAAAGGGGCTGCAGAATAAGAGATTGAGGACTCTGTGTCCACAATCTCTTTTTTTAACTATTTTAAAAGGGAAATATCAGGGGTTTAGACCCCTAAACATTTCCCCAAAGCCCCTAAAAGTATTTAAAAAAAAGAATAAACAAAAATGTAATATTTTTAAAAAAAATTAAAATAAAAAACATTTTCGGTCTGACTTTTTTTTTATTTTTTTATTTTAGGGAAATCCAGCAGGACACAGGCTTTGCAATAAAAGTAATGTAGCTAGGTTTCACAGCAGCAAAATAACACAACAGTTCATCTTCATTGACCAGCGGGAAAACTTAAACAGCGATTCTTCAGCATAACCGAAAATAACAGTTTCACCAACTTGAAGATTTCAGAGCTGCAATCGTCGTACAGTGTACGTGGCCAGTCATATAGCCACTTTGTGACAGGACGTACACTGTACGTCTCCCGTCACGAAGGGGTTAAACAGCCCCAGACTTTTGGGGGTAACTTTACCGGTCCACAGGTTTTCAAAAGGATACTGACGTGCAGGTCCACAGTCTCCAGCCTCCTCCACACTACTCACCTGCTATCTACCACTTCCCGTCTTTTTTAAACACACTTCCACCAGCAGGTGAGTTAACCCCATTTAGTCCCTAAAAGGGACCACAGACCAAACAGAGGGGAAATCTAGTGTCCTTCCAGGACCCAGCCCCGGCATCCTGTATATATAGTATATAATAGGGAGGCACCAAAATATTTTGTCAGAAAATGGTACTTTGGGCAAAATGCTGATAGTACCATAACAGCCGTAAATACGTCCAAAAATTCTACACATTCCTAGCTTCTCTCCTCCCGCGCTGGACGCCAGTTTGTGTCCCCTCTGATGCCCGCTGCTCTCCCCTGCCTGTGTTGGCAGAGGCAGGGGGGATCTGAGGGTGCACAGAGGATCCAGCTGCCGAAGCCCATCAGGGAGGAGAGAAGCTCTCAGGATGCGGAGTCGTGCGGGGAGGAGACAGCTCAGGATGCCGAGCGGTGTGGGGGAGAGAACTGTCAGCTTTCACTGGAGGCCGAGCTCTCCTCCTGCAACGCCTCACTCGGCTTCCTGTGACAGGCGGAGGAGTCCGGATATAGAGCAGGTTACAAGAACTCAGCGATCAGAAGTAGATCGCTGAATGTTTGTAAATAACTGAGGACATAGCATGCTTACTGTGTCCCCAGTTATGAATGAACAGGACGTGTTCTATATCACTTCTGTTTATTTATGATTGTGGACATGGATTTCCACACTTTATGAATAGACAGGAACACTCAGTATAGAGGATTCCTGTTTATTAACAGGGGCTGCAGAAAAAGAGATTGAGGACTCTGTGTCCTCAATCTTCTTATTTCCCTTTTAAAATAGAAAAAAAAAAAAGATCAGGGGTCTGTTTAGACCCCTGATATTTCCCCGGAGCCTCAAATGAGAATAAAAATAAAATAATTCAAAACATTTTAAAAAGGTTGGGGAAAAGTCATTTTCGGTTTTGGCCTGCCAACATGGTTTTGGTCTAGAAATGTCATTTTGGTGCATCCCTAATAAATATAACTATATATTGTAATATGACTGAACTGTTGGCCTTTTTTGTTTGTTTTGGGTTTCTCTGCAGAGTTGCAGGTATTTGATCTGCTACCATGAAAACAATGGGGGCCTATTCATAAATAAACAGGAACCATACCGCACTCCTTACCAGGATTCCCACTTGATGAGGATGGGTGCTCGAAATGACTGCTGATGGCACTGCCACACATGAACAATAGAAAAATGTCACCAGCACACCATAAGTTGCAAAAGCAAAATATTTAATTACCAATAGCTGTATCTCATTGGCAAGCGCTTTCGGGGCCTCGCAGGGTCCTCTTCATCAGGCTCAGATTCTGAGCCTGATGAAGGGGATCCCCTGATGCCCCGAAAGCACTTGCATTGAATGGCAATGTGTCATTAAATGGACTATTGCTTTACCACTACTATGGTGTGCTGGTGACATTATTTCTTCATTTCTGTTTATAAATAGACCCCTTAGTGTTAATTTATTAGATATTATTATATAGCGCCAGAAATACAGGAATTGCATAGCGCCAACAGTTTACAATATGAAGAAAGACAGTTTAGTTGTAATAAGATTCAAGACAGGAAAGTTAGGGGGCCCTGTTTACAAGAGCTTACAATCTAAAATTCACTTGATTGTTATGATTTGCACTCATCATGGTGGATTCAATTTTCCTATGATAGTCTCCGATTTTGAATGCATTCTTCTGTTTTTATTGCAGTGGGGCTACAACCATTCCCATCGATTTAGTTGTTGCAGCCCTAACAGGTATGTTCACATAGCTGTAGCTCCTGTATTGACTATACATTCAATAGAAGGTTTAGAAAAAACCCCGCCCAGAAGACTCTTTCAAATAAAACTGTTACTCTTTCCCTTTCTGCTTGCTGTACTTCCCTTTTATGTTTGCTTTCCTTTTTAGGTTTTCCAGAATGGAGGGGGAAGAACCATGCAATGAAAAAGGCTGCGTGGTACAAGGTGACACACTTGAAAGTGCTCTTGATGCCAATCTGGAATCCAGTGTTACAAACCACATAGCTAAGGTAATGCTGGAAACATGGAAACATAATGGATTGGTTTTGTAGAATCTTTCTGTGTTTATTGTGTGATGATAACCATTATAAAAGAACATTTATAGACCACCACATTGATTGGTACTTCCAGGTCACTGGTAACATGCTTTTTTTTTTTTTTTTTTTGTCCATTTGCTTACAAAAAAACAATATAATGTGGAGGACATAGTTGCTGCGTTCTCAGTAGCCATAAGATTATTTCGCAGAACATATCTATTAAGCCCTTAGTGACTAGTACAGTCCATAGTACGTCACTGGCACCGGGCCTGTTTAAACAGACTCCCGGTGGCTAAAGACGATGCTTACAATTGTAAAACCGACTGTCGGCTTTCCAATAGAAGCGATCAGGCGACTCGGCTGTCGCCCGATCGCTTCTCCGGGCCGGTAAACGCCCCCACCGTGTTTTCCGGGCTCCGTTGGCGCTCCTACGAGCAATATTCTAAGACCAATATTGATATTGTATCTCTAAACTGATTACCTGTGGGGGCTTTTAAAGCGTCGTTTATGAACTTTTTGGGGTACTGAATTTTCTTGCAGTTTTACAGACGCACACAATTTTTAACCTGGGCATGTTGGGTATCTATTTACTATTTATATGTTGCGCTAATATCGTGCAATAATAAAATTTTAAACTGCCAAAATTTTATTCTACAGGGTCTTGGCGTTCAGAAAATATATAATGTGTATGGGGGTTGAAGTAATTTTCAGGCCTAAAATGTGGATTATATAATGGGTACGAAAAACGATAAAAAGGCCTCGGTTAAGGGGTTAAGGTACAGAAATTAGGTATGCGTGTGTGAAAGTAAGAAGACTGTGAGCCAACAAGATCTACAACAGGAGTAGGCAGCCTTGACACAGCTGTGGTGAAACTACAAATCCCATCATACATCTGTGAGTCATGCAGTGCCTCATGGGACTTGTAGTTCCACAACAGCTGGAGCGCTGAAGTTGCCTATGCCTGATCTACAATATGTTACTAGGTAATTTGCATGTGACATGGACATTTCCTGCACCAATTCTATTGTGCATACAGTGTAGTCACCAACTTTTCATCATTGCCACAGGGGTCTACTTATAGGTCCCTACCCCCAACAACTTCTCATCATTGCCATAGGGGTCTATCTATTTATAGGTACCCAAACCCCCCCGCCACCAGCCATTTATCATTGCCTTAGGTTTCTATTTATAGGTCTGCAACCCCCCACCAACTTTTCATCATTACCATAGGGGTCTATTTATAGGTCAAGACAAACAAACCTAGTAAGCTTGGACAAAAGGAAAGGCTGAATAAAAATAATGAAATTATTTCATGTAAATGAATAATTAAATAAATGTAATGTTTTGTAAAACGGTTTCATTTAAGGCATGCTGACTATCAAGGTTGCAGATCTGCTTATTTTAACTCCCAACCAAACTTTCAAGCCCTGACGCAGGCTGCTGCTGTCATAGCTGATCACATGTACAGCACCATGGCAACTGCAATCCAAATAGAGGCCAAGATGACACCTTTCTTGCCTGTGGGGGATAGAAGGTTGTAGTTCTGCTTTACTTTTGCCACTCTCCTAGTGCTGTACCAGTCTGTTTAAACTTCCTGGTTTCAGAGTCCATGCTTGCTTCTTTATAACTCTGGTGTATTTCAGTACATTTGGCAGAAACCGTAGGCAAATGGTGAGCTGGGTAACAACTGAACTGACATATTTCCTGATGTAAAAACTTTTAAACATTTTTCGATTGCCAAAATGCCAAAAAAAGCTGTAAATGTATAAACATTAACCAAAAAGTGGCATACACCCTTTATAAATAGTCTAGAGGTTTGTTTGGCGTTAGTATAGATGTAAAGAACATTGCCACTGGGACTTTGGCTGAGCTTTAGGATAAAAGTAAGGTTGTGGTTTAGGGATAGCTTGAAGTTCAGGGTTAAAGAAGATCTCCAGGAATTTGAAGTTGAAAGATAACTGTGGGGTAAGGGTTTTTCCCCATAGTTCTCTTAAGGGTTACGGGAGGACATATACTAGCGTCCTCCCCTGCCCAAAGCTCAGTATATCACGTGCTACAGCTCACGAGAGCGCCGCAGCCGGGATGAATCCCGACATTACTGTCGAGATCCACCCAGCTGCGTGGGTGACAGCTGGCTCTGCCTATCTGGAGGCAGAGCCAGCTGTACCCGCCCCCTCCCCCGTCCGTTCCTCCCGTCAGCGCTGGAGGATCGGAGGGGGGGGAAATCCTTGCAGGGAGCCGTGACTGACAGTCACGGCTCTCTGCAGGGAGATGATCGAGAGACGTTATGTGTTCGCTCACTTCCCAATCTATTGAGCCGACGCGTGACAATCTCATTGTCACACATCGGCTCGAACTATGAGGATGAGTGATTTTCACTCACCTCATAGTTCTCCTTTAACCCTTCCAATGGGGCTACTCCTGTGCAGTGACCACTCACCTCCCTCTCCACTCCAGCTGTGGTGTGTCCTTCAGCATCTTCACGTCTAAAGGTGCCCATACACTGGTTTTTAATGTCCCGGCCGAAATTCTCAGTGTGTGAGGCTGTCAGCTCCCTAGTCAGCCAGCATTTCTCGATCAGCTGAAGAAAATCTGAGTACGATCAGAACCAGCAGCCAATAAGCTGCCCGTTTTGATCGGGTATTCTGACAGGTTCCGGCTGCACCTGTCAGAATACAATGTAAACCACGGCGATTCCTGGATTGACACGCTGTTTGTGTTTGATGGAGGAAACGTGTTTTTTTTTTTTTTTTTGTTCAGCCAGCGGGTTGAACGAAAAAATTGATAGGTGTATGGCCAGCTTTATACACTGTATGAGATGTGATGACGTCACAGGTCCTTAGACTGGCGGAGCCCGGGGAAGATGAGGTTGCGGAGACCGGTCTTGCAGCCAAGTGGGACCGGGGATCAGGAGAGTATATCTTCTTTTTTTTTTTTTTTTCCATCCCTAGACCAAAACGAGCACTCAACCTTTGCAGTGCGGGGGTAGCCCCACTGCAGGGGTTGACTTTTAAAATTCCTGGATTCCCTCTTTATGCAGTAATGCCATCAGAGACTTGAATGCTGTTCAAAATTTGGTTTTACCATTCAATTTTGGAAATTAATGGATTTTCCCAAACTAAAACCACATTTACTGATACAACTTCATTTATTTGAGAAGTTTTCCATCTTGCTCCCTTAATTATTTTTGTTTTATTTTTTCTGTCACTACTGTTGAAAGTGGACATCATTTTGACCCCATTAACTTTTAGAAAATCAAACAAATGTTCCAAAACTAAATTCTACTTGTATATGGCCCACTTTACACTTGAGGGAGTTGAGGTTTACGTACACCTGTTTCCTGTGAAAATCTGCTAAACTGACTTTAGCACTCTGCCTGGATCCTGCACCTTTTTTTCAGTGCACATCTCAATAATTCCAGGACTATTTAAGGGTATTGGTGAACTTGAACACTACTGGAATTGGAGGGTGAGCCCTGGGGTTGCTGGTGCAAGCATGTAAACATATAGGCATGCTTGTACAGGTGCATGCTTGCTACTGCTGTAGTCAGTGTAGTAGGTTTTATTTGGTGATCAATGTCAAGGGGAAATGCTGACCCTGTTCTGTAATTGGCCTGGCGTATCTGTATATTTGTTCCCGGTCTGACTTGGGTTATTACATTGGCTAGATTGGTGTGACAGCCAAGCAACTAGCATTTTAAAAGTAGAGGTCAGCAGTATAGGCAGGTAATTACTATAACCAGGGCTTGAAAAATGCGCATGTCTTGACACGAGGACGGCGGAGCCAGACGAGTAGCTTCCCGGCCGGCCGTTGTAATTAAACGGCAGGCCACGAGCTTTACATTCAAGCGCTCGTGGCGTCTCTACTGACGCCTGATCGCTTGTATTAGCAGCTGTCAGTGCCATTGCCAGTCCCGAGGTCCACTGTGCCCAGTGCGGCTGGGACTGGCACAGCTGCTCTGAGACAGGAAATCAAAGGGAGATCGGTAGATCCTCTCCAGTCCTCGAATACAGGAAGTGATGTAATATACTGCTGGCCTGTCACTCTCCAGCTTCAGAAGCTGGTGAAGCAGATCTCTGCTTCATCAGCTTTCTCAGGGGGTCCCTAGGTGACATTAGGGGTCATGGAAACCCCTGATGTCTCCATAAAGAGGACCTGTCATGTAAATTGGCTATCACATAGGGGGCTTCTTAGCCTCCTATGTGATAGCAATAAAGTTAAGTGTAAAAAAATAAAAACGGTAATAAAAAAATATACCTTCCTGGTGGTATTCCCGAGTGTGGCTCTGGGCTAATTTTCAGTACCAAGAGGGGTAAGGCCGAGCCACACTCGGGATTGCACAAAAGTGTCACTTACCTTGTCCCTACGAGCCTGCGATGTCCTCTGCTGTGTGCTCCCGGCCAATGCCGGCATTCGGCTTTTAGTTTTGTTTTCGGGCGTCACAGCGGGGGGCCTACAATATAAAACAACAAATTGCCATGAAAAACAATGTACCGCTTTGGCATGCTAAAATCCTGCATAATCAGACCGCCAGGGAGGTTAAAGAATAATTTAAAAAACACAACACTCCCCCGCCCCCCACATACACATGCAAACATGCGTCGGGTGCCCCTAGGTGTGAAAACGACTATTGTGCCGCACATGTTACATATCGCCGCAAACGTTGGAATGAGAGCAATAATTACTGATAACACTAAACTGATGAGCGGTAAAAGTGTTTAAAGCGTCGCCTATGGTCAATTTTCTGTATGGTTGTTTGTTGCGATTTTGCGGGCGCGCGCAATTTTAAGGCTTGACATGTTTGGCGTCTATTTACCCGGCGTGACCCCGTTTTTTATATTTTACTAAAAATATGGGTAAGAATAAATGTTTTTTTAACATAACGTAGGGAAAACTTTTTTTTCTTCAAAATTTACAGTACTTTTTTCATTACTGTATATAGTAAAAAATACAAAAACCTGCCGTGGTGATAATATACTGTACCTCCAAGAGAAAGCTCTATCTGTCTCTAAAAAGTGTTAACATAAATTTTAAGGCTATAGTCCGGTCATGCTGACTGGTGACATTTTTGACTGACTGGTGAGACACCCTAAAATTTTTCAAGCCCTGACTATAACCAAATGCTGTATACATATCGATGATGAAAATGTATTTTCAAGTACTAAAAATTCATTTTATCATATTTTTTATTTTGCTTTAATTGTTAGTTTTATGGAAGTGAAAACTGTCTTCCCATATGCCATCACATTTTGTCTGTTGGTATAACTGCTGTCACTGTTGGAACTCTGACGATTTTTCTATGGAGAAATAACACCTAGTGGCCAGCTGACACACAAAGCGAACCAGGGGACAGCGTTATTGCCACAGGAGTCACAGAAAGCTGCAAGAAGCCAGTGGGTGTTGTTAATGAAACATTAATGTTACTGTAGAGGGGTCATCTTGTATGTAACAGTAGATAGGGAACACTGTCACTGTTTCCAATGGTTTGTTTGATTGCCATACAAAGGAGTGCTTGTTCTGTAATTCCGCTCACTAGTAAGCACACCTTTTGCAAATCAAATACTGAAGAAATGCTATTAACACTTTACCGGACTGCAGCTCTTAAAATGTTATCTTTTTTGATGCATTTCCAATGTTCATGACATGCAAACGTTTAAGGAAACCTGTACCTAGAAATATGCAGGCTGCCAATACTCCCTCCTCGATCTGAAAATGCTAGTTTCTGTCTGCTTGCTGATGCAATGTCTTTTAGACTATCTGAAGCACTGTTCTGGAACAAGCCTGCAGGTCAGGAAGGTGTTTGGACTATGGGTTTATACATGCTTCTGGGTCAGCAACTTGATCTATTGAAACCAGAGACAGCCAGGCAACTAGCATATTCAGTAGACAGTTAGCCGTGGCAGTCTCCGCATTTCTCACAGTACAGGTTTCTTTTATATCTTTGTCTTACATTTGAAAAGCATGACAATTCTACAACCCAAAAATGTTCTTGTAGGTAAATTGGTTTCCACTAAAAAAGCATCTGTCTTGGTAGGAACATTAGATCATTAAAGCGTATCTTCTTACTGATCCTTAATGTGGTGGCTGCATTAGTTTTCTTTTTTTTGGCTTTTTTTATTCTAACCTTCTCTAGTAAGTCTGTAATTTTGTCTATTTCCTTCAACCCACCAAGGTAACTAGCAGAAGTGGCACATAGGGGGTTGAGACAAACCATTTAACACTGACAGGGGCGCTTTCAATGGTTAGTTTTTAATTATTTGTGTAAAACATTTATCCCAAAAAGAAACAAAAAAGCTTGCCTGTATTTTTGTTAGTAAAGTCATTCTAAATTTACTAGCCCGCCTAACACTACCCTCTACACAGGGTAACAATGCTGCTGCCCAAGGGTGGTTCCATCATTCCTCCATAGAGTGGAGCCACCCTTAGGCTGGCCATACATCTTACGACCATCGCACGACTTTCGTCACGACTTTCGTTGTGCGATGGTTGTAAGGTCATTAAAATTTCGTACCATCTGCCCATCTTGGACAGGCAGATCGTACTTGCGATCATCGCAAGCCCTTCCCCCTGAGGGGAGGGCTTGCGATGATTGCAGTGCTGAGCGGGCAGTGTGCGCTTGCAATGGCCCGTGTGGCATTCGTCTTCCGAGCACGCTACCAACCCGACGGAAATTGGACGATTTTCAGCCGGTTTTGGAGTGCACTAGGAAGAAAAGTCGTGCGACCGTACAGTAGATGCGGTCGCACGCTGCCCATACACCTGCCAATTATCGTACAATCGCAGGATCACCTTAAGACAGGACATTTGTTCTGTCCAGATCCCCAGTTTAAAATAAAGAAATAAAGGCCTGAAAATAGAAAATGAATACGGCCACCACATTGAAGGACTGGTACGCTGCAATATATTACATTTTTGGATTTAGATACGCTTTAACTTCTTCAATAGCAAGGTTGCTTACAGCAAATTGGCCTGTGGCCTTGTAGGGTTTTTTTTTTTTGCCTTCCTTTGGACCGAACACATAAAACTCACAAACAAACACCGAGATTGAACATGATGGACCCATTTTATTTTCAACCTTATTAACGATGTTAGGATACTGGTTAAGTTATTACAGTTATTCTGCATTCCGTGTTCTTTTCCTCTAGGAGGTTCCTTTAGATATGTCTAATGCAGTACTTGGCAAGGTCTTGAATGACGAAAGTGAGTTGTTAAATAGTGACAGCCATCATAAACTGGAGACTGAAAGCAAATCCAATATCTGCACAAAGATGAAAAAGTTTTGCTCTTGTCCTCCCCAAGGATTACTTGCTGTTGCAGTTACAAAAGGTACATTAAAAGGATATATTTGTTATTAGATGGCACATTGAATTTGTTAGGTCTTATTGATAACCCTATTTACTCATTGTCATTCCACAGTTATCATGGTGGCACTAGTTTGGGGAGTGGTGTGGTCCATAACAGGTTCTGAATGCCTGCCTGGAGGAAATCTTTTTGGCATTCTCGCTTTGCTCTTGTGCGCTGTAATTGGTGGCAAGCTAGTCGGTCTCATCAGGATATCCAACCTACCACCATTGCCTCCATTACTTGGTATGTGGAAAATGTCTTCTCCTATCTGAAGCAATTATAATTCCACAGAAATCTAAGACAGTTCTAATAAAATGTCTTGTGTAATCGATACATCTATGCACCATTGTTTTGCTATTTTGTACCTCGGCTTATATTCGGGACGGCTTATACTCGAGTATATACGGTAAAAGATTGTGTGCATCCTTCTCCTATACAACATCATCCATCATCAAAGCAGGAAATAGCTGCCTTGTAAAGAGGTTGAACTGCACCAGTTTATAGGTTAAAATCCTGATTAGTCATATCTTGATGATGATATTACCTACAACTCTTAGGCCTCATTCACACGAGAAACGTCCGGTACGTACAGGTCCGTGCTCCGTGTGCGGCCGTATCGGGCAGCTCGCAGGAAGGACAGGTGCTGCGCGTTATTAGTACGGAGCAGCCTGTCCTTCTCTATGGGACTATGCGGCCTTACGCCGCCCTAAGCTTACCCCAAGTGCAGGTCCGTAAGGGTGCGGGTGTCCCGGCTCGGACGCAGACAGGATCCATCCGTGCAGGGCGGGTGAGCGTAGATCGGCGTACGGCCGCGTAGTCCCATAGAAAAGGACAGGCTGCTGCGTACTAATTACACGCAGCACCTGTCCTTCCCGGGAGCTGTCCGATACAGCCGTGTCTTTAGTTTGTATTTGTAACATTTGGTTATTTATTTTACAATTTTAGTGTTGCGTTACATAGTTAGTCAGGTTGAAAGAAGACACAAGTCCATCGAGGTTTTCTTTTCCACCTTGTTAGATCTCCCTGTGAACAAGCCTAAATCTTGACTCTCTCTAGAATAAAAGGTCAAAATACCACACTTGCATTGCTGTCATTTTTGGCGTGTGTCATGGGTTAGGCAGTGCTCCAACAACTTTCTTACATGGTTTTTAATTTCAGGTGCATGATTGATTATTTTACAGGAATGTTACTAGCTGGGTTTCTTCTAAGAAATATCCCGGTTATCACTGATCAAGTCAAAATTGATTATAAATGGTCTGCGGCTTTGAGGAACATTGCTTTAGCCATCATATTGACGCGGGCTGGACTTGGACTGGATCCACAGGTAGTCATTTTAAATTTTTCCCAAATACAGATGAATTTATGAAGTCATATATGGTTATTATAAATCACTTGTTGAAATACACATATATATGAACAGTCTTTATCTGTGAAAGGATTTGTCCAATTTTTACATTATTTTTTACATTAACATATTTACAGTCTTTGTTTAGTAGGGAAGGGTTAAAACTAGTAATATATCGATACTAGTATCGGTGCCGATACCGAGTATTTGGGCGAATACTACTACTCGCCCAAATTCTCTGATGCCTAGCCCGATACCCGAACTTCCAGTATCAGAAGACCAGGCAGCGAGTCATTACATGTTGCCCGACTTCCTGGTTGGCCGGGAAGCTGGCTCCATGCTCTCTTGTCAGTTGGTGATGAGGGAGTATAGAGCCGGCTTCCCGGCCAATCAGGAAGCCGGGCGCCATGTAATGACTCGCCTGGCTTCCTTATTGGCCAGCTGCTCAACCAATCAGGAAGCCAGGTGGCGAGTCATTACCCACCCCCCTCCCCCGGCTTCCTAATTGGCCAGATAGCTGGCTTCCTTGTCCTTGAGGGAGCATGGAGACGGCTTCCCTGTTAATCGGAAAGCCGGGTGGCAAGTATTTACACGCTTCGCGGCTAATTGGGGAAGCCAAGTGGCGAGTCATTACACACCGCCTGGCTTCCTTAATGGGAGTTTTGGTATCGGCGAGTACCAGAAGAAAAAAAAAATCGGTGCTCGATACCGAAAAACCGGTATCGGTGTATCCCTAGTCTAAACCCATCAGTTTATTTTTCACTTAAAGCTATTCCTCACCTTCATCTTTAGGTCCCATTCACACCTCACAGCTACAAAACGTTCAACACAAGGAATCCATTGTTTTCTATGGCCCCTGTTCACACCTGAGCATTCTGTCATTTGTAGCAACATGCCTCTAGCTTGAAAAAGTACACAAGATCCTTTTTAGGCAGATTTGAGTGTTTCTGCCCCTATAGACTTCAATGGAATCTCCTTAAAACGCGTATCGTTGTTTTTGTGTGCGTGTTTTGGAACATTTTTTGGGTGTCTTTGCAAAGATACTACTGCTTTCCATTGGGCCAGATACAAATGAAATGGCCTGAAGCTGAACACCTGTAAAACCCGGAAATGCTCAAAAACACCCTAAAAAATGCCTGAAAACGCCCAGGTGTGAATTCAGGCTCAATGATAATAAGAGAGTGCATGGCCTTAGTGCCCATTACACCACATCCAGATTACCTCCAGACCAGACCTTTTCTGGACCCAAAATGCATCCCAATATATCCTTATGCTATTTCTGGCCTCTGTTCCCATCAGCACAGTCCATTCTGGACCAGACCAGAAAGATACTGCTTGTCCTATTTTGTCTGTTCTGGAATGCACTGGAACACACCTGTAAGACCATTTTTTAAGCTAAAAAAATAAATAAATTCTGGTCCGGAAAATCGTGTGAGCCCAGCCTTACAGTGATACTGTAAAATCCAGGGGAGCAAATGGGCAGCACACCTAGGTTATAGACCTTGTAATTTACGAAGGTCTAAGTTACAATAACATAAACAAAAAATAAAACGTTTTCAAGACACTCTGGCCTCTTTTCTCAAGGTGACAGACGAGAAAGGAAGTCAGTGTTTTGTCTATTGCAACTTCAACCTTTAGTAAATTACAAAATCTGTAACTATAGACCTGCTGACCATTTCTTCAGTTAGTTTATTTTGTGCTATGTTTTCTTCTCCTCAACGAGGACCTTCTTCCACTTCCTGACCCAGAGATGTAACAGGAGGAGAAAAAACAAATAAATATGATTTCTAAATAAAAAATCTTCCAATAGGAACAATAGAGAATTGTAACAGGGTTTATTTGTTGGTGTACAAAACAAACCACACAGGACCGAACCTCCTATTGGAAGATTTTACCCTAACCTCTTGTTCTGTAATACTGACATTTTGTATTTTTCCCATCTCTGTAACAATAGTCCCATGAGATAAAAAAGGGGGGGGGGGGGGATCTCCCTAGCGGGACACAGACTTTCTATCCAAAACTAAAAAAATTTTTGCCTATACATACACTTGAAAGTGGAACTACAACCTCCTATTCCTTACAGCCAAGGATGGCGCCATCCTTGCCTCTGTTTGGATTGCAGTTGCCATGGTGCTTCACATGTGATCAACTATGACACCAGCCATGTGAGAGCTTGAAAGTTCGTTTGAGTGCTAAAATAAGCACACTGGCAACGTTGACAGTTGGCAAGCCCTAAAATAACGGTGCGGTTACATTTGTGGGCCTAGTTCCACTTTAAGTAAACCAGTGGTGTCACCTTCCCATACACAGCTTGCTGATTGGACAGTAAAGGAGAAACACACTGATAAAACATTAACTCTGCTCACTCTGCTTTCTCATACTGTCAGTTTATACGTTTTTGGAGGTTAGCTTTACAAACTGGATTATGACTGTTTTTTTTCAATATTATTTCTATACAGGCTTTAAGAAAACTCAAGGCAGTGTGTTTACGGCTTTCTTTTGGTCCCTGTGCCATTGAGACTTGCTCTGCTGCCCTTTTATCTTACTTGCTGATGGGACTACCTCTAACATGGGGATTTATGCTGGGGTAATAAAAAAAATTTCTTATTTATTGTACTGTGGTCTTTGTTTTGGGGTACATAAGTTGATCTTTCTGTAAGAGCAATAAGGGTGCTCATGCCCATATTCTGCCCTCTTGAAGGAAGCTACTATTGTCGCCCTGTCTTTGAAAATACTGATAGCTTGGCCGCTTCTGACTTTCGTACCTTTTTAGCAACAGAGACCAGGAACATGTATACAGTTCAGAAGTGTCAGATTGAAGCCGGAGCTCCTAATCTGCATAACTGTGCCGGGTCAGTGACTTAGAAAGCACTCAATCCATTGCATCAGTAGAACTACCATGAATCTAGCCTTTTCAGGCCAGGAAGTTTGTAGTTGCAGCTTCCTTACTTTCTTGGTACTTGGTCTCCAACAGACTGCCAGATAATGGAACCATATTGCCAAAATGGAATTGTTTTGAGATCTACAACTATTATTTACAAAGCTTAGTAGGTACTGTCCTAACAAATTTGAGCACATGCCTGCAAGTCAGCATAACTATGCTATTAAGATCTTAGAGGAGCAGAGTACAAAGGACTAGTTAGCAGAATCGCCTATTGGTTGCCTGCAGCTGATCTCTTCCCACTACTGACTTACCATGTCTTCATCTGCACTGCCTGTTTTTGGAAGCGGCCATCTTTTCACAAGGCTTTGCTTCATGTCAGAGCTGTCCCCTTGATGACTGGTTTTAGAGTGTTCAAGAAACAACAGGAGGGGTTCAGAAAGCAGGTCAAGAAAGAGTTCAGGTCTACTGTGTATTTCCACTTTCACAGCCAAATTGGGAAAAGCACCTTTTTTATTCTTTGTTAATGTTAGGAAGGGCTGTAAGGGGGTCAGGGGCTTCTGCATTGTATGTTAATGAGAGAAACACAATCCTAAAATTTTAGTCCTACGTTTCTGTAAGGACAGATCACTGTAAAGGTGCTCGGATGAAAAAAATTGGAGTTAGCTATTTTTCCTGCTGCAACAAAACATCTAAAAAGGTAAGAAATATGTTTTTTAAAAGTATTTTTCAGCATTCTGTGTAAATAGGCACACATTACAAGCATATAGTGGGGTGTTTCTCAGATTTGACCGTAAAAGTGGAAATCCACTAGTGAAGATGTTACCCATATTGGCCAATTCCATGCTCTTGTATATTTAGAGTGTTTTTGAGATTTTGGTTGCTATGGGTTATGTCCCAACTTTACTCTCTCTAGAAAGACACTTTAAGAAAATTCTGGGAATGGTGACAAAGTATATGTGAACTCAATTACCAACATTTTATATAGGCTTTACAATGTTTTGGTAATTTCAATCAAAAAAAATCTTCAGCTCTCCTTGAAAGAACACCTGGTGATCGTGCCATTAAGGTCTTTATTCAGACACTTTCTCATAGGGTGACAACACTCTCTCCTTGTCTCCTAGTTATACTCCTGTGTTGTCACCCTGTGACATGCTCCTTTTGAAGGAGACTAACGGGGTTATTCACTCAGCTGCCACAGGCAGCTGAGTGAATAACCGAGCAGCAGTGAAGTGAGCTGAACAAAGTTTGGCTATTCACTACGGCTCAGTACGGCTGATTTCAGCCCTACACAGGCTGAAATCAGTCGTACATCGGCTGCACTTCGGTTAGCCAAACATGCTCTGCTCAGAAGGAATTCGACTCAGCCGATCCAACATCTGGATTGGCTGCGCCGTAGCTCCGGCAGTGAGTGAATAGCCGAAGGCCCTCGAGCGGCATTCTGCTTGGCTATTCTGCTCTATACCTCCGTGGTATCGCGCAGAATAGAATATCAATGAGAATAGTTTGAAAAAAAAATTGAAAAAATAATTTTAAAATGTAAATTGAGAAATTAAAAAATTTAAGATTTTTTTTTAAAAGAAAAAAGTCACAGCTAGCTCTGCCCAACTGTTTCCTATGGGCCGGCACCTGCTAGAGTCTTCTAGCAGGTCCCGGCCAATGAATAACAACTGGGCGGAGCTGGCCATGATGTCACGGCAGGCTCCACCCAGTTGTTGTTGTTTAATGACAGTTCAGCGTCCCCAGGTCATTTGGGGATGATGATCTGTCATTACAACTGGGTGGAGCCAGCCATGACATCACGGCTGGCTCCGGCCAGCTGTCATTTGCGGGGCAAAAGGCCGGCCTTCACCAGTCGGTTTGCCCCGCTTTGGCTGACATTTCGGCTCAATCGAGCTGAAGTAAATGCCTTCAGCTCCGCCACCTTTGGGTGCTGTACAGACTATAGTGAATAGCCCGTACAGCGGCCCTTCGATTCGACTGAACGGAAGGGCTCCCGCAACCAAAGCTAGCCAAAGGATCAGCCTAAGCTATGGCTGGAGCCTTCGGCAGCTTTGTGCATAGACCCTTAAATGTGGCCATGCTGATACACATTGCATAGGCATGGTTCACTGTTGTCACCATTGGGGAAACCTGTGGGGAAATGACATGCAGCAGTTTATGAAGTGTATGTTCATACCACACAGTGTTTTAGCAAACCAATGTCATTCAGTTAGGGTTAACAACTACTATTGGAAAATGCAGATACAGTTGTTGTTTATTGCCATTATTGTGGGGAAACCTTAACTAAACATTTCTGATGTCTTCTCTGACTAGCTTTGTTCTAGGCGCTGTGTCTCCCGCTGTTATAGTTCCCTCTATGCTGCTTCTTCAGAAAGAAGGCTATGGAGTAGATAAGGGCATCCCAACACTGTTGATGGCTGCTGGAAGCTTTGATGACATCCTGGCTATAACCGGTTTCAATACATGTTTTGGAATGGCGTTCTCATCAGGTACATTTTTGTGCTTGCCTCTAGCACCATAAGATAAAGAATCTTAGTGCTTATACTGTAGACCTTTCTGCCTTTTCTGTATCTACCATTGAATATAAATCTGCCTTTGTCTTTTATTGCCATCTACTGGTGTTGGCAAATAACTTGCTCAGCACAAATAGTATGGTCACCCTCAAAACACTGAAAGGGAATCATTCATCATGGCTGCTATTTGTCACAGCCAGATTTTCCATCCAGCACTGGAGATGGACATTTCAGGACTCCTGGAAACTATACTAGTTCAAGGACATGACGCATGGCATCACTGTTGGGCAATTGCAGCTTTTTGTAATGAAAACTAGTTTGGTATGACGGGTAGCTTTTTACAGAGTTGCTCTGATTTGAACATTCAGTTCAAAATAGCTATGACCTATGGTTTAGGAGTGTGTCTATGGGAATGTTTGACCATTCTTCCAGAAGCGCATTTGTGAGGTCAGGTACTGATTTTGGATGAGAAGGCCTGGCTTGCAGTCACCGCTTTAATTCATCCCAAAAGTGTTCTATCGGGTTGAGGTCAGGACTCTGTGCAGGCCAGCCAAGTTCCTCCACCCCAAACTCACTCATCCATGTCTTTATGGATCTCGCTTTGTCCACTGGTGCGCGGTCATGCTGCAACAGGAAGGGGCCATTCCCAAACTGTTCCCACAAAGCTGGGAGCATTAAATTGTCCAAAATGTCTTGGTATGCTGATGCCTTAAGAGTTCCCTTCACTGGAATTAAGTAGCCAAGCCCACCCCCTGAAAAACAACCCCACACCATAATCCCCCCTCCACCAAACCACCAAACTTTACACTTGGCACAATGCAGTCGGGCAAGTACCGTTCTACTTGCAGCCGCCAAACCCAGACACGTCCATCGCATTGCCAGACAGAGAAGCGTGATTCGCCACTCCAGAGAACACGTCTCCACTTCTCTAGAGTCCAGTGGCGTTGTGCTTTACACCACCTTATCCAACACTTTGCATTGCACTTGGTGATGTAAGGCTTGGATGCAGCTGCTCGGCCATGGAAACCCATTCCATGAAGCTCTCTACGCACTGTTGTGTTGCCAATCTGAAGGCCACACAAAGTTTGGAGGTCTGTAGCTATTGACTCTGCAGACAGTTGGCGACTTCTGCGCACTGTGCGCTTCAGCATTAGCTGACTCCGCTCTGCCATTTTACATGGACATTTCACGGAACACCTGAATCCAATGATTTGGAGGGTTGTTCCAATACTTTTGGCAAGTGTGTGTATATATAAATATTGTGTACACATACATAGCAAGGATTTTCCAGTCAATTTACCTGCTGCCATTTTGTATTGTAACTCGCAATCAGTTCCTGCAGCTTCTTCCTAATTAATCAAATGATCCCAGTATCATAAGAGAAGAACTGCTGGGAACAGCCGAGAGCCAATCACATGAGCAGGACATTTTGGGTGAGGCTTTGTACACGAAACACCCCCATACAAGAAGCCATGTTTACAATGTTCCCAGAAAATGCTTACAGGCTCAACTAGAAAGATATTGTTTACTACTGTAAAATATAAAAGATTGGTGTAACCATTTTAGATTTAATATACATACCGTGTGTGTGTGTGTGTGTGTGTGTATATATGTATATGTGTATATATATGTATATATATACAATTTTATTTTTTTAAAGTGGGTTTCTTTTTTATAGTAGGCTAATAAAAAAAGGAAAATGTTTTGGTTTTTAGGTTCTACCCTTAACAGCATCATCAGAGGAGTGTTAGAAGTTGTGGTTGGAATTGCAGCGGGACTTCTCCTGGGTTTCTTCCTTCAATATTTTCCAAGTAAAGACCAGGTAACAACTTTGTTCAGTATGTAGGGTGGGAACTGCCCATTTGCATTGCTGGCTCTTCACAGAGCTCAAAGTGTAATTCCACTTTTGCAGCCAAAAACCCCACTATATGTATGTTTATATGTTCACATTCACACAGCATACCGAAAATAATAGAAAAAAAACAAAACATTTCTTACTTTTTTTTAGATGTTTTTTTGCTAAAGGCCTTTGTGCAGATTCCAGGCTACTCTGAGCAGTTTGATAATGAGACTAGAAGGTGGCTGTACTGAGGGACAGTCTAAAGATTATTATTATCCTAACTGGCCGAATTTCGACGATCGATGGAACGGATTTTCCTTTGCACATGTGCAGTGTTCATGTTGCAATTTTTTTTCCCCAACGAAAACGCCACTAATTCATCGATTTTTCCGTACGTTTCGAAAAAAGTTTTCCAGCCTGACGGATCGAGGAAACTCGGCCAGTTCTACAGTAATTATGATCGTTCACTTCAAATCAACTGGCCGATTATCGTACAAAAACAAAAACTTTCGATTTACGAATGATAATCGCAAGGTGTATGAGCACCTTAACTGTGCCGTCCGTCCGTTTTTCTACTACGGGCGGACGGCAACTGGTTAAGGACCAAGGCTTTTTTTTCCATTTTTTGCACCCATGTTATAATCCACGTTTTAGGCCTTAAAATTACTTAAAACCCCCAACATTATATATTTTCTGAAAGCCAAGACCCTATAAAAAAAAAAAATGGTGGCAGTTGCAAATTTTTATGTTGCACGACATTTGCGCAACCTATTATCAAACCCAGAAATTTCGTGAAAAATGCACTTAAGTTAAATTTAGTGGCCAAAACACTATATAAAACCATTCTTTTTATAAACGATGGGGTTACAATGAGTAAATAGATACCCAACATGCCCAGGTTAAAAATTGTGTGCGCCCGTGAAACTGCGACAGAATTAGGTAAGTGGATCAATTTTTTTTTTTTATAAAGGACTAACACAACAAAATCCTTTGTTGTGTTTCTATTTCAATTAAAGGATTTTTGATTAAGGCCTGGCCTTTTTTTTTTAAATTATCACTATCTGCATGGAGTTTGAATGTTGTCCCTGTTCTTGCACGGGTTTCCTCCTAAACTCCAAAAATATGCTGGTAGGTTAATTGGCTCCTGCCTAAATCAGCCCTAGTGTATGTGAAATGGGGACCTTAGTTTGTAAGCTCCTCAAGGGCAGAGTTTGTTGCGAAAGTGCAGTATGTAAAGCACTGCATAAATTGTCACTATAGAAATACTTGTAATAAATACATTCAATATTATACAAAAGTTATACTCACCCAGTCCTCAGAGCCGGCCGCCTGTGACAGCCACCCCCCTAGCCTGTCTCCTCCGCTCCAGCGATGGTATATCCATCGGTGTCCCCACGTCCTATACAAAGTGCATAGAACGTGAGGACTCAGGGACCTTAGACCACTGCAGCGGAGGGGGAAGATTAACTTTTAAAAGTTTAGTGTCACTTTAACAACAGAATCTGTCCCACCCACAGCATAGATTGTATTACATTTGAAAAACATTTCTACTCAATCCAGGGTGTGTGTGAAAGTCCATTTGATTCTATATTTCTGTGATCCCTTTATGTGAACTAGATATACAGGTGAAACTCGAATAATTAGAATATCGTGCAAAGTTTATTTATTTCACCAATGCAACTTAAAAGGTGAAACTAATATATGAGATAGACTCATTACATACAAAGCAAGATAATTCAAGCCGTGATTTGTCATAATTGTGATGATTATGGCTTACAGCTCATGAAAACCCCAAGAACCCCAAATCCACAACCTCAAAAAAGTAGATTATTACATGCAATCAATAAAACAAGGATTGTACATAGAACAATATCGGACCTCTGAAAAGTACAAGCATGCATATGTACTCAGTACTTGGTTTGGGCCCCTTTTGCAGCAATTACTGCAATTACTTTTGCACGATATTCTAATTATTCGAGTTTCACCTGTATGCGCATATTCGTCTCCATTCAGAGTATGATGTACAGTATGCATATGAACATGTCTAACTCAATTAAAATGACGACGTTGTCTTAATGATAGCTTTGCAGGAGTTTACTTCACGGTGTATCTTTGTAATCCCACAGAAAAAGCTATTTAAACACCTCATTCCATAAAAATGTGAAAAATGAATGTGTTTGCTCATGTGACTGTAGTAGCCACATAAAGGGGGGGTTTGGTGTGGGGGTTTTTTTTTACCATTCAGGAAGACAAGGTCAGGTTTGAATTGTGAGACATTTTTATGAGAAACTATCACTACGTTACAACTGCAATCTTTACAACATGATTGGACCTTTTAATGTTGTAGGGTTGGTTTAGCCGGTACAAGAGGGGTGAGATTTAACACAACCCTTCCCAAATACTCCAAAACTTTCATATTTGAAGATCAAACAAACAAACTAGTAATGACCATGGATTGAGGACAAGCAGAATTGTCATGGGGACCCTGGAAGAACAGACAGAATGATTAGGTGGATGTCATTACTAGTAGAGTTCCCAGCATGTAACAACCTGCTGGAGTCTACCTAAATATTTTATAGCAAAAAGCTATTAATGTCATTATGTGAACTATAAACTGGATGTGTTTTCACCCCTACAGGAGAATCTAAAATGGAAGAGATCCTACCTCATTCTGGCACTTTCCATATTTGCAGTGTTCGGAAGCCTGTATTTTGGTTTTCCTGGGTCAGGAGGACTGTGTACACTGGTGATGGCTTTTCTAGCAGGCATGGGATGGTCTGGAGAAAAGGTATTATTAAAACAGAACTCCTAAAAGAACATTTGTCAAATAGTGAACAGATGTATGCCCTTTTCAGAATGAGCAAGGTGGGGGATATGACAAGCAATGCTGAAAAAATGCTTCAGATAAAGATGTGTAGTTAAGTAGTAGAAATAATAGGGGGAATTCACAAAGGAATCTGGTGAGAGTAGCATGCCCCACAGGCTGTTTCAGGATCAAGCAGCTCCAGCTTTCCTGCTCCAGACATGGCATAGAAAATGGAGCAGATCGCTCATAATTAACAAAGGGGAATAGTGCAATAGTATACAGATACCAATACATAAACCGGTGATTGTTTTAACCCTTCTCTACTCCTAAAGTAAAAAAAAAAAGTTTGGCTATACATACACGTGCTATATATACACTCTCTAGGGCTGCAACTAATAATTTTCATAATCGATTAGTTGGCCGATTTTTTATTTTTTACATTTAGTTGGATAAAAAAAAAAATACAATACCATCCTTAACTTAAAATAAATAAAAAAAGACAAATGCAGTGTTACAAACATAACATTTACGTCAGCAAAAAAACTGCATGGCCGTTTTTTGCAATTGCACTGGAACGCACATCATTGTGGTACTGTGTGTTCCAGTGCGGGCAATCACACTTTGGGTGGGAGGCGCCTTTTGGGTGCCATTGAAATAAATGGCACTGTAACGCACCTCCCGCAGCAGAATTTGTCAGGCCGAAACCAAAAATGACTTTTTTCCCCACCTTCTTATATTTTTTTTAATATAATAATTGTATTGTAAGCACATGGCGCTTGAATAGCTTCAGCAAAAGGAATGAACTGCCAGTGGCAAGATTCTGCAGACGGCAGCTGAATGTAAATACAGCAGGTAGTGGGCTGGTGCAATAGCCAGCCTGCTATTGGCCATTTCAAATTACAATAGCCAATAGCAGGCTGGCTATTGCACCCGCCCCCTGCTTGGTGTGCCCTCCTCCCAGCGTGGAGGAGAGAGCTAGGGGATCCAAACAACTAATCGATACTGAGTATAGTTGACAATTATTCTCATTATCAATCAATTAGATGGTTGCAGCCCTAATACTCTCAAACATAGAAACTGCCAAGTTGTTTAGCCACTCTTCTCTCCCCTTGCCCAACAACAGAACACTATTTTGTATTTTTTTTGTATTTTGTGAATGATGTACCACATAAAGAGCGTTCTCTGAAGGGGCAAGGGGAGAGGAGGGGGCAGACAAACAGTGTGGCTTCAGTGTATGAGAGCTGGAGCTCTTGTATCTCAGCGTTGGACGCATAGTGAAAGCTATACTATCCAGCCTGAGTGTGTAAATATTACAGGAAGTACAGACCTACATAAGTAGCATACCTTGTAAAGCAGGCCACAAACACGCCAAAAATCGTAGGATTCTCGGCGGGTTTTCAAACATGCTCGTAAGACAAAAGAGGTGCGACCGTGCAGTAGAAACGGTCGCACGCCTTCCACACACCTGCCGATTACTGCCCAGGACTTATATTTGTCCAGCAGATGAAAACACAATCCTGTTCTGCTTTCATATATTATCCCCATGACTGTCCGTTGGTATTAGAGTGCATACTGACTTTTTTATCTTTATTCTTTTTATGAAAGACCAACAACAATATAAAAACCAAAACCTATTAACAAAAATAACATCTGAAGTATACAACAGGACATATATCTATATTCCAATTTACTGTACAAATACAGTAACAGAAAAAAGAAACATTTGTGCAGTGACCGACCTCAACAGGAATAAAAAAAAAAAAAAACTCTCCTTTTTTATTTAGCTATAATTATTGGGGGATCATTGGAAATTATCCTCTTATTATACCACCCTGTCAAAAATAAAGGATTACCGACTATTAAACGAAAACCTATGCAAAGAGTCAATAAATGATTCCCATGCATCAAAAAACTTTAGAGCTTGAGTGTCCTTACTTGTCTTTAATCCAATCATTTTGAAATACAAACATCAGGTTACTCAAAAAAAATGGTTAGGGAAGGTGGTTAAGAATATATCCGTTGATGCAGAATGGTTTTCTTCCCCACCAAAGATATAATAGACAATAGCTGTCTGCATCAAAGAGTTATTTTCACTCCATGCAGATCTAGGATTCCAAAGATCGCCCAAGCTGCAGACAGAGGTAAATAATTGACCAGGTTTTGCTGAGTATACTGGGCAATATCATTCCAAAGGACTTTATCTTAGGGCAGCTCCAAAAGGCATAAGTCTGCTGATTCCTGCCCACACCTCCGACATCTAGAGGAACAGCTAAGTCCCATAAGATAAGCAGATAGATATGCAGAGAGATATAAGATCCATGATAGATTTTTAATACCATTCCTCTATAGGTGGACGCAGTCATTGTATTCCATGCTCTATTAAAAGCTTGAAGAATCTCAATAGTAGATATATTCCGAAAATAATTAGTCCACTTTGAGAGGCTGGTGGAGTGTTTCACATAATCCAGATCTAATCTATAGCACCTATACACCTAAGCTATTGCATCCTTATTTGGGTTAGGATTCAAAAGCACCTGATCAAGGGGGTTCTTCCAATCTGAAGGCGAGGTTTTTAAGTATACGTATTGCATAAGAGCGCATCTGCATTAAAGTAAATCTTTCACAATTTATAAATGGGGAAACTCTCCGATTCGGCTGCAAAAGTCAAGTTTGTGATCAGTGGTTGATGTAAAGGACTTGCAGTGAGGAAAATCATTATTTGATCCTCTGCAGATTTTATAAGTTGCCCACTTACAAACGAAAGGTCGATCATTTTTATCATAGGTATATTTTAAATGACAGAGACAGAATATTGACCAAAAACCCAGATAAAACACATGATACAAATTGAGTTGCAGTTCAGTGAGTAAAATAAGTATTTGATCCCCTACCAACCAACAATAATTCTGGCTCCTCTCACAGACTGGCTCTATGGTACACAGATTAGTCCTGTCAATTTAAAAAGGTGCTCCTAACGCCAACTCGTTATGTATAAAAGACACCTGTCCACAGAATCTCTTTCTTCCATTCAAACCTCAGCGCCATGGGCAAGACCAAAGAGCCGTCAAAGGATGTTGGGGACAAGACCTGCACAAGGCATGAATGGGCTACAAGACTATCAGCAAGAAGCTTGGTGAGAAGGAAACAACTGATGGAGTGATTATTCGCAAATGGAAGGAATACGAAACAACCATCAATCGCCCTCGGTCTGGACGTCCATGCAAGATTTCGCCTCATGGGGTAAGGGTGATCATGAGAAAAGTGAGGGATCAGCCCAAAACTACACGATTGTTTGTGAATGTTCTCAAGGTAGTAGGGACCACAGTCCCCAAACAAACCATTGGTAACACAATACACCGCCATGGATTGAGATCCTGCAGCGCCTGCAAGGTCCCCCTACTCAAGAAGGCAATGTACAGGCCCATCTGAAGTTTGACAATGAACATCTAAATGATTCAGAGAATGATTGGGAGAAAGTGCTGTGGTCAGACAAGACTAAAATTGAGCTCTTTGGCATTAACTCGAGTCGCTGAGGTTGGAGGAAGAAAAATGCTGACTATGACCCTAAGAACACCATCCCTATAATCAAGCACGGAGGTGGAAACATTATGCTTTGGGGTTGTTTCTCTGCTAAAGATACAGGCCAACTTTGCTGCATTGAGGGGCCAATGGACTAAAGATGGGTTGTGGATGGGTCTTTCAGCATGACAATGACCCAAAACATACCGCCAAGGCAACAAAGCAGTGGCTCAAGAAGAAGCACATTAAGGTCATGGAGTGGCCTAGCCAATCTCCAGACCTTAATCCTATAGAAAATATATGGAGGGAGCTGAAACTTCGAGTTGCCAAGTGACAGCCAAGAAATCTTAAGGATTTAAAGAAGATCTGTAAAGAAGAGTGGACCAAAATCCCTCCAGAGTGCAAATCTGGTAACTAACTACAAGAAACATCTTACCTCTGTGCTTGCCAACAAGGGTTTCTCCACCAAGTACTAAGTCATGTTTTGCTTGGAGATCAAATACTTATTTTATTCACTGAACTGCAACTCAATTTATAACATTTGTATCATATATAAAATATACCTATGATAAAAATGATCAACCTTTCATTTGTTTGTAAGTGGGCAAACGTACAAAATCTGCAGGGGATCAAATAATTATTTTCCACACTATTTGTGAGAAGGGTTTCAGTAACATCAATGTAATGTGCGTGCTGATTTTTTTTTTTTTTTAAATATTGTGCGGAAATCTAAACAATTTTTTCTTTTTAATTTATAAATAGGCTGTGGTTGAAGACATAGTAGCTGTTGGATGGGATATCTTCCAACCACTGCTGTTTAGTTTGATTGGATCAGAAATAAATATTGCCACCTTGAGACCCGAGACTGTTGGTAAGTGTAGAACATTGCAGTATAGAGATGTATGCTCAGCTGCTATGATGTATGTTGTTATCTGTCCCCAAAAAAGGGTATAAAATTCATTTCAGTACAGCGCTGCATGACGGAATAAATGTCAGTCAAAGTACCGCAGCGCTGAATACTGAAAAATGGCCTGGATGGGAAGGGGGTTTAACACCGCGGATGTCAACTGGTTAACAAAGGACTTTGTAGAGGGTGGCTTTAGATGGACCAGTACCTCCCATCATGTAGGAATGTCTTAGGAGGCTAGTGACAAGCACACAGACTGTTGGAAGTAATCTGGCCACTCTTTCCCTTTCCTCCAACTGAAAGGAGGGCTGAGTCACTACATGTACCGCAGTGTGCTTTTGCCCATCGGACATGATTACAATGTAGAGCTCTTATGTTTTGAGAATGGACTGTTATCTTCCTGCATGTCATACTTGGCAAACTACCTGCTCCTCTCTGATCACCGTAAGAGCCCTATTTTCTGTATATCTTTTTAAATATAATGTTTATCAGAAGTTTGCAAATGTAGACAAAGTATGGATATGGGAGAAAAGTTCACTTCTAGTGCCCAGCAAACATTTACTAGCCATTCATTAGTATTAAAAAAAAAAGAAATTGTTTTGTTTTCTTTGCCTGTAAAAAAAAAACTCCTATTAACAATTCCCCGTTAATTGTGTTTTTTTAGCGTTGTGTATTGCCACACTTGGGATTGCATTAATAGTGCGGATATGTTTCACATTCTTGATGGTGTGCTGGGCAGGATTTCTGATGAAGGAAAAGATATTTATTTCTTTAGCATGGATGCCCAAAGCTACTGTTCAGGTAAGGTCACAATACACTCCAGCCTTGAAGTCCCCAAGGGGGGGAGGAGTTTGGAGCCGATGCCCCCTTAGACACACAAGTCTGGTTGCTTCTGCTAGTCAGGCACTGCATCTTTGGCCATTTTCACAGCACTGTTATCTGTTGCACTTTGGGCACCTTCCAGCAGATGTATCTTTCATCTTTCATGCAATCTCAAGAAAAAAGTGGATGTCATCCTCTCTGATCCTCGCATTTCTATGGTGCATTTCATAGAATGCCTTTCTTGCTTTCTACTTTTATGATTTGGATATCTCAAGCTACTTAGCTGCTTCAAAGTGAAGAATCTCTGAAATAACTGATACCATTTAGTCTATGGATTATGTTCGATACCAGGGGTGCCCATTAGGTTGATCGCGATCTACCAGTCGATCGCAAAGCTAACACTGGTAGATCACAATCGCAAGTCAGCTCAATGTCCGGAGCTCCCTCAAGCAATTCTAGTGCAGCTGAATGTGTGCTGCAGTTCCCCACATGACCTGAAGGTCAAAGCCTGTGCATAGTGTTGTAATCCTCCCTGCTGATAGAACCAGGAAGTGTCTCCTAGATACAGCAGCAGGAAGCAGAGGAGAGGCTGAGTAGGCTGCATCCAATCAATGGAGTACATTGGGACCACCAAGGTACTGTGATCTGTACACAGCCCTGCCTTCATGCAGCTATACCCACCCCACATAACACAGACAGTGGGCTGTTTATAAAGAGCAGCTAAAACGACCAGTGTGTATTACTGGTTATTTCAGGTCTAGGGAATAGTGTGTTTATAGGAGGACACTGTGGGCTGTCAGCATCTTGTATTATTACACAGCACCCCATCAGCAATCTTTCATCTTTTCCATCTTATCATTTACTTCACAGGATCCTTTCCAGTCTGAGGGCTTGTTCACACCACTTCAAGTGCGTTCCAGCCCGGTGAGCTGCTGGAACGCACTGGATCACATACTGTAAGGCTCCCTGCGTTCTGTGGTGCGGTAGTGCTTGTACAATTTTTTGTGTGTGATCACATCGGACCAGAACACAGCATTGTTGTGCCACGCATTCTGGTGTGGTCAATCGCACTGAGTGCGGGTGCGTGCGTAGCTGTGGTGCCATTGACTTGAGTGCATCGACCACTCCAATCCCAGAACGCAGGGAGCCTTACAGTATGCGCTCCAGCAGCTCACAGTGCTGGAACGCGCAGGAAGTGGTGTGAAAGGGCCTTGAGAATATTCTGCTTTTCTAATTTCCTGGAAAGTATCATGTCAGCAGCCCTTGTGTGTGTTTATTGTACAAGCTGGCTAATCCCATAACTGCTAGACAGCCAGGAGAGAGATTGAGGAGAAACCCCAAGAAAGAGAGAGAGGAAAGACATCCAGGAGAGAGAGTGAGAAGAGCAAACCAGGAGAAAGTGAGGAGAGCCAGCCAGAAGAGATGGCGAGGATAGAGCAAGGGGAGACAACCAGGAGAGTGAGGAGAAACACAGCCAGGAGAGATGGTGAGGAGAGAGAGCGAGTATAGACAACCAGGAGAGAGTGAGGAGAAACACAGAGAACGAGGAGAGACAGGATTTGAAATGTAGTAAGAACCATTGAAGCCCAGTTTTTTTTTTTCTTTTAATTGGTAGATCTTATTGAGCTCGTCATTTGAAAAGTAGATCTTGACACAAAAAATTGTGGGCACCCCTGGTCTAGACTTAGAAGTGAAATTTAAGTTTTGTTTTTTTTCTCTTTAAGTTGGTAAATAAAGAAGAACCCCGGCATGTACAAAATTAGCCCTTGCAGTGAGGCAACCCCCGCACTGCAAGGGTTAAAGGAGAACTATGGGGTTAAGGCTTTTCCCCATAGTTCTCCTTAGGGTAACGGGAGGACACAAACTAGCGTCCTCCCGTCACATACTGAGACGCCGCAGCTGAAGCGGATCCCGACAATTATGTCTGGATCCGCCCAGCTGTGTGACTGACAGCTAGCTCTGCCTATTTAGAGGCAGAGACAGCTATACCCTCCCCCGTCCATTCCGCCAGTCAGAGCTGGCGGATTGGAGAGGGGAATCCAGCCCCTCCCCTGTCACGGCAGAGAGCTGTGACAGGATCGAGAGGTGAGCGAACGCCGGTATATGTTCGCTCACCTCCCAATCTACTGAGCCGACCTGTGACAGTCTCATTGTCACAGGTCGGCTAGAACTATGAGGTGAGTGAAAAGCACTCATGTCATAGTTCTCCTTAAGTGCTCGCTTTGGTGTAAAATAAAAAATGATGATCCCAACGAGAGGATAACCTGCTACAGGCTGAGTTTTGGGTCAGAGGAGGACATTAGTAAATGTTCTCCTCTGACCCAGAAGAGAATTATGGCAAAAAGGGTTGGTTGATAGTTCCCTTTTTAAAAGTGCAGTTGAAATGATCACTGCTCTGAATATACTAAAAAGCCAGTTTGCTATGGACTGTGATACAGTGCAGGAATTTTGATATTGCCAGATGCATTTCCAGAAATGATTTGATCCTGGGTAAAATTTTTACACTTCCAGCTTCTGTTTTTGTTCTAATGCTAAACTGCTTACTTTTGACTTCTTTGAATTATGTGTTTTCAGACCTGCGCTTATTTTTAAAATGTATCTTTTTATGTCTTTTACTTAGGCTGCCATTGGCTCCGTGGCTTTGGATATGGCAAGAAGCATTGGGGACAAACAATTAGAAGAATATGGCATGGATGTGCTAACTGTAGCTTTTCTAGCGATTCTGATCACAGCACCCATAGGAGCATTAATTATTGGGCTAACAGGACCCAGAATGTTGCACAGATCGGAAGACACAAGTATAAATGTAGACGAACCAGCAGAGACTGAAAGCAGGATAGAACTATCTCACCGGCTTTGATACTGTATTTTGCTCCTCACTGACCGGACATTTGTTTTTAAATGATCATGTCTCCCATTTACCAAACAAGATTTTATTTATATGATTGTACAGATTGTTCTTCTTTTTATAAATAGGAATCTTTATGTACAGTAAAATATTAATATTTACCATTGTATATAAATCGGTGTCCTGTAGTCCTTATTGGAGAGTGGAGATCTGGTCATTCAGAACTTTGTTACAGTATTGAAAGCTGTCAACCCAACACGATGCAGATTTCAGTACCATAGTTAGAGATACAAAAAACTTTAACACTTGGAGTGGGGCTACCCCTGCACTGCAAGGGTTAAGTACTTGTTTTTGTCTAGGTGCGAAAAATGAAGAGGTTATACACCTAAACTTCCAAACCAGCAAGCTGTTACAGCGCTCCCTCCAACCTGTCTCCCCCCTCCCTGCAGCATTGAAATCTTCCTCAGTGCTCTCATGTCTATACACCGTGTATAGAACATGAATTACGGGACCTTCGATTGATGCAGCGTAGGGAGAGAGAGAGGCTCCAAGGACCGGTCTAAAAGCATCCAGTATTCCAGTGAGCAACTTTTTTTTTTTTTTTTAACCTAGACAAAAATGAGCGGTTAACCCTTGCAGTGGGTTTTTTTTTTTTTTTTCTTGGAGTTCTTTAATTTCCAAAAGGAAGCGAAGAGATTGTGTAGAGGTCAGAAGAAGGTATGTAAAGAAATGGTAACCAAAATGTGCCCGTTTGTTGAAAATCTAAAATGAAGAAAGCATGGAGTATATTTACAGTGATACCTTTTCTAAAATGTATCAGGCCCTTTCATAAATATGACAAGACATTACTTTGTTTTTGTTAAATGTTTCCACTTTAAATGCAAAGTAGAGAAGGAGTGTGACTAGATGTTGTTAGAGGTTTTTGAGTTGGCAAACTGAATGGAATGAAGTAATCTGTAGGGCGGCCAACTCTTCTCATAATCGGTTATTGATTTAATCGATTAGTTGTTGCATCCCTAAAAATCTGTATCCCTTGCTGCATGATTTCTACCAGGTGAGTGTCAGACTTCATATGTCTCCTTACAGAGAACACACACACGAAATAGATCTGTTTGTGTGCAAAAAAAAGAAGAGCAGTAAACTGCTAATCTAGGCAAAAACTATGTGCTTAGACTTCTTATAATACCAACTAGTGATGCACCGATACCAGTTTTTACAGCTCCCTGTACTGTGCAGTGTGGGATGATGAGGTAGAGGGGGTGGCTATTTTAGATTGTAAGCTCTCAATAGCAGAGGCCTTTTTGTTTTAGCGATGCACAATTGCTTGGTGTTCTAAATCTACTATAACAGTAATAATAATAATGGAGCAGCAGAAAGAGATACAGATAAGCGATGAGAAACATGCTACTGTGTGACAACAATGCTGGACCTGCCTATAACCCGAATCCTCCTCCTTGCTATACAGCAAAGACTTAAAAGTGACATTAGACTCAGCAGTTAAATCTTAAATACAATCAAGAACCTTACCTATAAATAAAAATGCAGCTTATTTGTGGATCACTCGGCTGTAGGTCCTCAAATCATCTCTGAATTGATGCTGACACTGTCTTTTCTTCTGGAGGGTGGCTACTTTTGTTCCCCATGGTCCCTGTGTGTGTTGTAAAGTAGCCACCGTTCCAAGCTCACTCCAGTGATGGACTACAATACAAATTCGTAAACTAAACGTGAGATTGTAGTCTATCACAGGAGTGAGCTTGGAGCCGTGGCTACTTTACAACACACACAGGGCAATCTGTTTAGATTATTGTACAGGATTTCTATAGCGCCAACAGTTTGCACAGCACTTTACAAAATAAAGGTGTACAGTTACAACACCATTTCAGTACAGAATGGTTAGTAGGGCCCCGCTCCTGGGAGCTTACAATCTAATAGGAGGACAAGTGATGCAAAAGGTAATGTGGGATGAGCTAATGGAAGAAGTAAATAAAGAGAGTTAGTACATCGCAATGGGATAGGCTTCCCCGCAGCGATGAGTTTTCAAGGCCCACAGACTAGCATTGCGCTCCCAATCAGATCCCCCTGTCAGTTTTGCATAATCTGATAGGAATAGCCATGTGAAAGGGGATTTAGATTTCCAAATGAAGAATGGAAATTTCACATATGCAACAGATTTGACTTGATTGGCCGAATGTGTAAATGTCTAATATGCTTGACAACAACAGAAGCCAGCAATATGATAGTTTAAAGAACTACAAATTAACTTACTTTTTTTTTTTTTTTCCTGAAACCTTGTTGCAATGTAGTTCTATATAAGAGGAGATTTACATGTATAAGCTAAAAATCAATGAAAGCAAGACAAATAAAAAATGACACATTTTATTATGATCTAATATGTACTTAAACAACCATTAGAATACACATTATTCTGGAAAATAAGTTGTGAGTGAAAAAAGAAAAAAAATTCCAGCATAAGGCCCGATATTAAATAAATAGATCTTGAAAAAAGTACAAACATGTGGTAATGAAAAGAAAAGAAAAAAATCTTGTTAAGAGTGAAAAAAAAAACCAGCAGATTTATAAATTGTGCATGTCATTTAGCAGTATAATACCTGTTTCCACAATATTTAGTATAACAAATTGTGACAACACTATTATATAAGGCACTCTTGAAACAACTCCATAACATGGTCGCTTCTATTCTGGGTGATGCAGTTGAAAAATATAAATACTACAAGAAAAAGTAAAAAGCGATCACCATACACTGACATACAACACCTTATGCAGTTGTCGGACACTGGTAAAGCCCAACTCTAGGGAAATGAAGTTTCCCCTGACAGTGGAAGGGTGAACTGCTCATTTATGCCCACAATGCAGGACAAAATTTACATTTTGCTTACCTGATCCTCGCTCCCACCGACTCCCTCCATGCTGCTAGACTGGTCCCCTCAGTTTCTTCTCCCCTGCACTCCAGCGCTCTAAGGACTGCTGACATCTGCAAGTACAATGCAGGCTTCATAGCCCTGCACGGTGTGTGAGTCCACAGCCAGAGTGAAGGGCAAGTAGAGCAGACTTCCAAGTGGGTATCAGCTAAGTCAAATAGCTTGGTCCTGTCCCCTAGGCATAAACGAGCAGTTGTTCCTTGCATTGCCAGGGCAGCCCCAGCAAAATAAAACTTTTCACTACCCTGAAGTTCCGCTTTAAAGCCCATTTTCACCTTTGTGGAGGTATTAAAAAAAGAAAACCTTTTGCCAGTAATGTATACGAAGTGTACATGAAGCAGACATATGCAGTTGCTGTATATGAACACAGAGTCTTACTTTTTGTTAGCTGTCCTCTTCATGGCTCCCTTTGAATTGGCTGCCTCTGTGTTCTACAAGTAGTCTGTGTATATTAACACTCTCTATCTGAGCTCTCTCCTCCATTCATTAGTATTTATAGTGTCAACCCTCCCCAGACAGTGTATTGTGACCTGAAAGGCAGATCTGGTGTGCAGTAATCTTGTTACAATGACTCACAGCGAGGGAGGCAGCTGCTTTGCAATCTAATGCCAGGCCCAATAAAGAAAGCCAGCAATGAGTCATGAAAATGTACACACATATACATCATCACGGCACCTCTACATTACCACAATAAATACAAATCACTTACAAAAGGTGGAAATGTTACAAAAGTTGGCAATTTTGGAACTTCCCTTTAGGGAAATTTAGAGTGGTCTTATATTTTCTATTTATTATGGTTTAGGCTAAAGAAACAACATTTAACAAATATTTTAGTCTGGTGAGTAATAAAGCATTTTATACCGTGTTTTATTACAGGTAGACCTCTTTTTCACATATTTTATTCCATCTTTTTACAGCCGGTTGAGAAAAGCCTGTTTACAGATCTCAATAGTTCAAGCCAAAATGTATACATTGAAACTTCTGACTGGGTCATCTAATTTGCATTAGTCAGCCATTTTTGTCAGTCAAACTTAATCTCCGGGCATGTAGCCACCAATGTGCTGCCCCTTTAGTTAACCCACAGTGCTCCAGAAAAAAAAAAAATCTGTCATGTATTCATTGTTAATTCTTAAAAACAAAAAATATTCAACAATCAAAATAAAATTAACCCCAAACCATTATTGTTAACCCTTACACTCAACCCCAGTAATCTTGCCGCCCTTGGTTCAATTTGAGGCAACTAATCAAAATTTCAGTTGAAATCAATTAAAGGCACCGCAGTGCAAATTGAAAGGCAGTATCTATCAATCTCCCCACCAATTCCCAGTATTTGAAAACGATTTAAATTGTGCATGGCAGACGGCGGCAGTTCCAAGCCATCAAAAGCGTCATAATCACCAAGTGCATCAGCCAGCATTATGGTAGGTTTTTCCAGATCTCTTTACAGGATCAGAGGATACATAATTAGTGGCGTTCGGTCACAATGCTGTCAGTTGATACTCCTGTTGGCCCCACTGGAAGATATGGCCTGTTACTGTTAACACCAACCTAATTTTTATACATTTTGCACCAAAGAATCCTTGCAATGTTCAGTATTACATTTGTGAACAAGTACAACTATGTTTTCATGGTATTACCACACACAGCAAATGGTAATGTAAACCTTAAAATAAATGCTGGTCACAGCTCTCCACTAGGACTTTGTTTTGCTACTTTAAAGTGTAACCCAGGAAAATTGCTAGATAAACATATACAGTGGTACCTCTATTCACGAACTTAATTAGTTCCATGATTATGGTCGCAAACCGAATTCATTGCGAACCCAAGTCAATTTCCCCATAAGGTTTAATGTAATACATATTACTGTACAGCTAAAAAGAACACACAAAAGCTTCACAGCAAGTGTGCACAGGTCTGTCTGCGACTAGAGGAAGCCATGTTCATGTGTCAGAGAGGGGAAGATGGCCGCGGTTGTGTTCGTCACCCGATTTGGAGTTCATGAACGGAAGCAACATTTTGCCGAACTTCCTGTTCGTAAACAGAAGCGTTAGTGAACCGAGGTATTACTGTATAATGTATATACTGTATGTAAAAGGTTTAACCCGCCAAAGTATTTTACATTCTGCTTAGCCATTGTTCTGATTCACATACCTGTGCCATACTGCATGCAATAAGAATCACTCTACCACTTCCTGGGTTAGCATTACAGCTTCCTAGGCCATCTGCCTTGTCAATGGACTGAGGAGATCATTTAGTATCTAAACGGCAGACTGAAGGTGAAGAGGTGACAAAGAACACGGCAAAGGTGAACTAAGAAACAAGGGTATCACCTGCCTGACTATGCAGTGTGGCAGATCTGTGAGAAACAAAAAGACTAACTGAGCAGTAACAAATCCTTTGACAAGAAAAACAGTTAAACACATGTATGTCAACGTTGTATTTAGTGGCTTGCCGAGAGTTCTGTTTTATTTTGAAATGAAAAGTTCAAATTTACAAAACTAAATCCTCCTAAAAAAAAATCACCTTATTTAGATCTCATTTTTATATACAACTCACCTTTAGAGAATGCATGTTTTTAAATGACATGGAACAGATATACATACAGTATTGATGACCTCTTCCCAGAGTACCACAATCCTAAATGTATAAAGTAATACAATGGGTGTCTTAGTGAAGCTTTAACCACAAGCATGGTCCAATTCTCTGACATTGATGTTAAGGTCAGAGAACAGTGTGCAATAGCTAAGCTGTTGTTAAGACTACAAGTGCCACATACAAAATTTCAGCAAAGTTCTTGTGCTGCAAGGACTCTGCCATACTGTGACCTCTTCCAAACTCTATTTAGTTGCTTTCAATGCGGACATCATTGACCAAGTCTGATTGGTCACTGTGGGCAAAAAACTTTTTGCACATGATTTTGACCACGAGTTTGGTTACTCAAGAGCAAATGCTTAAAGTGACATTAAAGTCAATGTTTTTCCCCCTTCCCAATCCTGCTGTAGAGGCTTACCATTAATGATATCCGATCTTCTTTACTGTCCTTTTCAGCTGTCCCTCCAGCGCTGATGCGGGGCTCCAATCCAGCGCCGACTCATCTGTCCTCCTCTTCTCTGCTGTCCCACGGTGTCTGTGCGGGCGCACGCTGCTCCATTGACTAAGGCTGGGTTCACACCTAGGTGTACGGAATATACGCGTTTGTCGCGCGTTTTTGCTGCAATTTGCGCTAAAAGAAACACGTAACAAACGCGCGTTTCCGAGGGCTAGCCGGCTGTATCCTAATGTATACGTGCGACAAATACGCCCCAAAGAAGCTCCTGTACTTCTATGGGCGTTTTACAGCGCGTCCCTACGCGCTGTAAAACACCCAGGTTGGAAACATGCCCATAGGCAATTATTGGTTTTCACATGTTGAGCATTTTAAAGGGCGTAGGAACGCGCTGTAAAACGCCCAGGTGTGAACCAGGCCTTACCATGTGTCTCTCCTCGTCTCCCGGCCGAACATCTGAAGTGCGCATGCGGCCACCCCAAGATCCTTTGCGCCCGCCCGAGACTCTTCAGATGTGCGGATGAGAGCGCGCGGTGAAGACACTGGTAAGTATTAACCCTTTTTGAAAGGTTTTTTCTTTTTTAATGTTTTTGCATATATTTACTGCTTGCTAGTAGTAGATATATGCAAAAACACGCTGAGGGATTAATAACCCTTTAATGTAAATATTGGCTCATTAACACACCCTTAACTTAGCAGCATGAATGCAACACAAGCACCCACAGGTGCCAGCACGTAACCTTCCCTCTACCCAAAGCTCCCTTAAAACCTGCGGTTCCCCAATATACAAATCTCAGCTTTGCTAACATACAAGGCTGCCCCATCCTGCAAATCCCCAGGACTGGACATTGAAGCTGTCCATCACTTTTAGAAAGAAGTGAAAGTTGCAGAAACAGGGACAGATCCTTTCTTGGTCAAATTTGTGATCATTACACTTCAAGTCCCCAGGCTAAGGGAGAAAAATATAATCAAAAATTGATGGGAAGGCATTTGCATGCAAGGTGCATACTGCAAGCTGCCTCACGGAGGGGAGTTAAACAGAATACAAACATTTGCTACACAGTATGTGTGTGTATGCTTGTGCATCCTTAAATAAGTACCACAAAAAAATCAATCGAACACCACCAAAGTAAACCTGATTGCGTCTCTCTTTGTGGTTTACTGGTCTTGATTTACTGGCGTGCTTAAAAATAAGGTAGCTTTAAAAAATAAAAAAAATAGAGTTTGGTGCCTTACAAAGGCATTGTAAGTCACAAATCACAAAACTTAACTACTGTATTACAGATCATCACAAGTGCACATGTTTAGGTACCAGAGATCCACTTCAATATCAGAGCAGGACTCTGAAATACTTCATTAAAAATGGCCTTAGAATTTCCTTGCAGCTCCTAGACAACGCAGACGAGAACATTTCCGAAAATGTTTTTACACTTAAATTTCTTTCTTTTTCAAGATGAGTGGACCCACGTTGTCTCCAGTAAGTTCATTGTGCTTGTTATGGGAGCCATCGCAAACAGGAAACTGGAAACAAGAGAACATAGTTCATTGGAAAAACTCTTCATACACTCAATAAAACAATAAAAATAAGTCAAACAGTAAAAGTAATTACGGTTATGCTAAAAGGTTGCTACAATTCAAACACCACTGGTGTTGTATAAAATGAATCTGTAAGTGTGCTACCATTAGCCAGCCCAGGCCTCAGTTTCAGAAGCAGCCCAGCTTTCCAGGCTGTGTGTGGTCTGGAGTCTGTTTGTTTTGCTGTCAATCCTAATGTAAAAAGGCCTTGCCTGATTTGCACCACTGTCACTGCCAGAACAAGCTACATATCTTCATAAATTGTAAGCCCTCACGGGCAGGGCCCTCCTCACCATCTTGTCTTGGATTGTAATGTCTTCCTTATACTTTAAAGTGCTGAGCAAACTGTTGGCGCTATATAAATCCTGTCTATAATAATAAATATCCAGCCCCCATCCTTATGATATAGATCACAGAGCTCTGAAAATGCCAGATATGGAGCATCATTCATTTGTATATCACTATTTATATTAAAACTGAACTCCAGCCAACCTTTTTCCTCCCCAGAGGTAGCAAGTCATCTCCTCTGTTGAAACAGATTACTCTCCATTCCCTGAAAATCTGCATCTCCACAATATTACCCTTTAAAGCTGCAGCAGCTATCTTGAGCCGACCTTCATTTCCTGTCTGGACACCTATCATTTATCAATCACCTCTTCTCCCGATCAGTAATGGCGTTGGCCCTCCTCTTGCAGCGATTAGCCATCTCTGCCATCATTTTGTTATATGAAAGAACACATCCCCAGTATTCCTTTGCTCAGGCAACCAATCAGCTGAGTGTACAGCTAAAGTCTGCAGCACGGAGGAGAAAGCACATCTAAAAGGGATCCCTGGAATGTGTTCATTGATAGAATTTGCTCAATAATCCAAGGTGATGTGAGGTTTACTCATGATCATTAGTGACGTTATAAGCCAATATTGCTGGGCTTCAATAATAACGTGATAAGGCAAAACTGCCATTTCATTAGTTTAAAGGGATCGATGAAAAAAAATAAAGATTATTGTAGAGAGGCTATAATCTTATACGAGCCTGTATGTTCTGCTAATTGAATTTGCTAAGCTGCATTCGTTTTCTCTGCTTCATAAAATTATGAAGAATTACTAAGAATAATGCTTTATATACCAGTCTTCTATCTACGCAAAACAAACGCTGGCTGGTAAAAGGATAACAGCCACAAAAGGACAGAGGACAAGACATTGTGGTCATGACATTGCAATGATAACATGTGACTTTCAAGCTTCAGGTTGTTGACACAAGACGTTACGGCTTAAATGAGATCTTTCTAAATGGCGGCATTGGCTCACAACAGTGGAATGCCCATTTACACATGGATTACATGTAGCCAGTTTATCAAACGCCTGGTTATATGTGCCGTATCCAGTCTGTATAACACTAAGGGTATCCATGCCATTTCCATTACAAAACCTCTGCAGGGTCAAGAGTAAAATGTGCCCATTCAAAGGCTTATAACCGACAAAGTCCACCAAACTGGAGTACACCATAATAAGCAACACAATTGCTTACCCCTATCCCTGTGATCCACATCCACAGAGATTAGCCCTTGCCAACTGTCAGCTGCTGTGCCCAACTCTGCTGCATATACAGGTATCGGGGAACTCAGAGGTCTGGGAATCAATGTTATGAGGAGGAAGCTGAAGAGCACTGTGGAGACTCATACTGTACATGAAAATGCCAATTGTTTTTCCGGCTATTGTACACACTAACCCATGGCAACATTTAAAAAAAAGCTGTGTTCCCAAATACAATGGCTGCTAGAGATCCACCTGTTGCCAGATCTTGGGGGGAAAAGTGGGTGGGCTTGCTCATCACTTCCCTAGTACACGCAAAGTCATAGAAAAGTTTGTGAAAAGGACACCGCTCACATTTGTTTGCCCAGTTTGCTCCGATACCAGGACTTCCGGTCAAAGGGAGATTTCCTCTGACCGGCAATGCCATGAAGGAACATGGAGCCGGCTTCCCGGCCAATCAGGAAGCCGGGCCGCAGGTAATGAAACCGCTGCCCAGCTTCCTGATTGCCTGGGAAGCCGACTCCATGCTACCGGAAGTACCATAATCGGTACTCGGTATCGGCGAGTACAGAAATATAAATATCGGTACTCCTACCCGATACTGTAAAACCAGTATCGGTGCATCCCTTATATTTACCCAATTCTAAGTTTTGCTACATACCAAATCATTTTTATGATGTCCTAATACTTAAAACTGCAGAATTCAAGGAGGGTGTACTTTGTTTTTCAAAGGACTGTAAGCAAGCAGCTATACAAGGTCAATTATGTCACTGCATACCGCACCTTTGCTTACATTAAACGGGTGGCAGCAGCAGCTGATTGTGCAGCACAGAAGGAACATCTTTTCATGTTCAGGTGGAGCTCCTTCCAGGTTCAGAGCTCAGTTTCGGTCAGAACCTTAGCTCATCTCTAGTAGAGAGCTATGGGGCAAGCCAATGAGCAGCAACAACATGTTTAACCACACCCACCACTTCTATCATGTCCAACTGTAGTTCTAGTGAGCACAGCGGTGCAAGGGTGACAGCGATGCAGTGCTTTCCATAGCACAGCAGGAGCGTTGTCACCCTTATAAATGGACTGCTTTAGGAATAGTTCTGTGGGCAGGCCCACCTGGTGTTTTTATAATATTAAAGGGGCAAAGAGACTGAATAACATTTAACATAATGGCAGCCTAAATGACAAATCCAGATTGATATGTTCCCCATAGTTTTACTATAAGTGTGCCAGGACTGGGCCTTGTTCTCTACATCTGTCTGTGGATCTAGACTACCACACAAGAGCAAACAACAACATAAACTCATTCCAGAGACTGGGAATGAGTTCTCCTTACAACTTAGGCCTTAAACCAATCAATGTATTGGCAGCAGAATAAAGTACTTGGAAGACTGGCATGGATCACTTATATGTGGGTATGTTTATGTTGTGCAATGCATTCCCTTCACAGCAAACACAACGCTCACCGTTTTAGAGCGCCAGCATCGGCAGTAGGCAACTTTAGCGATATGCAGGTCCTCTATATCTATTTCATTGACAACCTTAGGGTTTTCCTTCTGGATTTTAAGATTGATCAAACTGTCCTTCTGTTGCTTCTTCTTTGGTAGGAATGGTCGGATTGCAAGATATCCCAACAGGGCGAGGACACCCAAGAAAGGCAGTAGTCGCAGCCATTCGGAAACTGAAGAAGACAAGTTCAGGTTTGATTACAAGTGGAAGAGGTTTCTTAATTAACAAGCACTTTTTGTATTTACAGATGCTTAGGATGAGACGGCCATGTGTGTTCTTGTTGTCGTATTACAAGTAATGCTAACAGTACACATGTAACAGCAGCTCTCTATTGAAGTGTCTGCTTCTTTGTAGCACCCCACTCCCCCAACAACAAACGCCGAGCTAAAGTAAGACACATAAGATAGTAAAAAATGCTCATCTTACAATAAATGGCCAGAAGCCAGGAATGTAGGCCAGGGTGATATCACGGAGCCTGCTCCTGGGAATGCTGGGGATTGCAACTCTCACACTCCAGCACCATGCATTAGGTTCTTCCCACAATATTTGGAATCCTAAGCTCTCAGGATCAATGACCTCAGCCTGGCCTAGGTGAGCTCCTCAGAACCCAGGGTGCAAGGCGAATATTTAGACTTTTTTTCCCCTTTAAATGTGAACTCCGGGATAAGCATAAAATGTCTAAATACAAAAGGCATGTGTCTTCTTACTTGAATTCTGGTGTGCTTTGTGGATTTCTTCCAGATCGGTGCACTCATCCAGTATGAAAATTTACCTCTGTGCAGGAGCTTCCTATAATAAAGACCACTCACTACTGCTCTCTCTCCTTGTCTTGAATCCGCCCCCTCCTGTAGTTTTCTGTGGGCAGCCTGTAGTGGGTGGAGCCTTTTGGGTTCCTCCCACAGTTCTGTTCTCTGCACAAGCTGTGTGCAGCACAGTGATGATGGCACTGCTACTTTAACAGGGTAATATCTGGTTTTGCAGAAAGCATTTAGTGCACATAAAGTGGATTTATATCCCTTTGTGGCTATTAAGGAATATATTTAAATAAATGTTTTCACACCTGGAGTGCAGCTATAGGAATAAGTAGACTTTTATACAAAATGCACTTTTTCTTTTTGCCCCCCCTCCCGTGACTTAGTAATCCCACCCTCACCCTCCGCAAATCTGAACTTACCAAGATCCAAGGGCCGTTGCTCCGCTGTTGGCTGACATCCAGCAGCTCCCTCCCCAGGCTGAGTCTGTCTTAATGCTAGGAGACAGTTCCAAGGAAGTCTAGTAGTGTGCAGGTGCAGCCAGCAGAGGGAGCATTGCGGAGCTGGATGTACACCAGATCTGGGCATTTCACATCCGGCCCTATGGTTGTCCCTGTCCAGCCTGTGGTCCGGACAGGGGTTTTGTCTAGACCACGATCACCAACCTGCTCTCAGTTATGGTTGGCTGACAGTGGATGCACCGGACTCCGAAGGCCATTGCATCCACTGCCAGCCATAGCCCAGCGCAGGCTCCCCTCCTCTTCAGTCATTGGTTGCTAGGACTTCTGACATCCTAGCAACCAATAACGTTGTCCACCACCTCTGCAGTCATTGGCTGCTAGGATGCCAGCAGTTCTAGCAATCAGTGACATCAAATGTGTTCCTGCCCCCCCCACTATAGGAGGACGGAATAGTATCTGCTTCCGTCCTCTCCACCCCCCAGCTCCAGCCTCTAGTCTACTAGATAAAGTAGTAAACGAAGGTATGTGGGGACAATAATATAAAGGGGCACTCTAAAGGGGACAAGTAATGTAAATAGGTACTCAAATGGGGATGTTCAAAACCATATAATTTACTGCTTTTTATAAAGCGACAAAATGAATACTAAGCAGAAGTTCAGCCTAATGGTTTGACCCTCCATACCAGTCCCAGTGGCCCCTTTAAGAAAATGAGTTGCCCAGACCAGATGTAAATAATAGAGGAAGCATGGTCGTCTTATCTTGGCAAGTACGGATCTGTGGAGGGGGAAGGTGGGATCATTTAGCTCAGAGGTGTGTGTGCATATTTTTCATAAACTGTATAATCCCAGCAGATTCTTAACCTTTCGGTCTGCAACATTTATAACAGTAAAGTGAAAAATATTGACAAGATGAGTCAAGAAAAACATGAACGAGGCCAGTAAGTGAAGGTTACAGATGTTTCCACAAGGAACAATCAGATTATTGGGAAAGGCCCCAGTTAAACAGAGAATAACAGAAGAATGAAACAGACTTTTACAGAATTGTTGTACATGGTCACACAGTTGCATTACTTTACTATAGCTCTTTGTACAATCTAAGAATATAAAGCACGAGTATCTTTCTTTCAGAGCTGAAATTCGTTTCCTTCTGCTTTTTGACAATTTCCACACCCTTGGCGCCAGTTCTATCCACTATAAATAACAGCTCTCAACCCCTTTGTAAAGACTGAGGTCCAAGCAGTATCAGTCACTCTACATTACAATGTATACTTTAGAGCAGGGATCTCAAAGTACCGGCCCGCGAGCCGGAACGATGTGGCACGCAGCAAGCGGAGCAGTCAGGCATGCTGTCACGGACCGCGTACCTGACTTGCGGGAACAGCTTCACGGTCTGCATCTCTGTCAGGTGCAGACCGCAGAGCTGATGCTGGCTGTGCAGGCGCTCAGTTCCTTATGCGAATAGGAATCATTCTCCCTGGACGCATCGATCGTGGATCCAGGGAGAATGATTCCTAACTTTGTGTAATCATATCACTATCACATACCATTACATGCGGCGTGCAGGCATTTACATGCAGTGGCTGTCACCTTATCATTAACTTGAATGGGTGACAGCTGCCGCCTGTAAACACCACATTAAGGATTCCTGCTGCAGGAAAACGCAAGTTCCTGATGCAGGAATCCCTAATCACACCTAAACTTACAGGTGTAAATGGGGCATTATTGTGTGTATATTAGTGTTTGTAATTCTGGTTGTGGGTGTGTGTAGTAAGAAATTTGGCAAGCAGCCCTCATGGGGGAAAAAAAAAAAGGTGTCCAGTGGCCCCCTAAGTGACTTAAGTTTGAGACCCTTGCTTTAGAGCCTGGGTAGACAAACGATGGCCCTCCAGTTGTGGTGCAACTACAAAAACCCATTACGCATGGCAAGACTCCGGAGGCAGATGCATGATGACATTTGTAGTTTCACCAAAGCTGGAGGGCTGGAGTCTAAACCCTGCTTGCCGCCCAGGAACTGCTGTTGCACCATGCCTCCGCTGGCCACCTGCACTACCCCAGAAGGGGAGGAGGAGGACAAGGCAATAATGCCTGGGGTCATCAAGAATAGACCCCCTGTAATAGGAGGGAGCCAAGATCCTGGAAGCGTTTCCGGGTACCTCTGACAAAAGACAGCAAAGCTTCAGGTAACCACAACCCAGCAGAGCTGCATCAGAGGGGGACCACAGACCCAGCGGCCATCCAGTAAGGAAAGAAACCAACAAATGTTGCATACTCTTGAATGGTAGGAAAATTGAGGGACAAGGGGCGGGGGTGGGAGGGGTTTTTAAACTGTTCCAATTGTGTTTCCTGTAGAGGGAGGAACCAATCATCTCTCAGGTTGCAGTTCTGGAAGGTGATTGGGGAAAAATCACTTTAGTAGTGTGTGGGGAAGGGTTAGGGTTCCTGACAAAGCCAAAGTCCATGCCCCCATGAAATATGAAATTTCTTTTTTGGGTGTTACAAGGACAGGAAGGTTAAAAAATCCTTAGTGGGGTCAGGGACAGAAATAAAAACCTTACAGAAGTTGAACTCAATCCAAAACTAAAAGAAATATCTAGGCTGGAGTTCGGCGGTTTCTGAGCCTGTATACAATTCTCCTTTTTCCTTCACAAAAGTGCAAATTGTTTACTGCACGAAACATCTACTTCAGGGTAAAATCCCATCCATTACCATGAGGAGACAGCTTAAAGAGTTAAAGAAAAACTCCAGCCAATCAAAAACAAAATGAACCCTTGCAGTGGGGCTACTCCCACACTGCAAATGTTAATGCTCCTTTTGGTCTAGGGGCTAAAATAAAGAAATAAGTCACCCGATCCCTGGTCCTATCTGACTGTGAGACTGGTCCCCGCAGCCTTCTCCCTCCCGGACTCTAGCGGTCTATGGACTCATGACGTCATCCCGTCTAATAAAACTGCGTTAAACGCGAGGACGCTGAAAGACATTGCAGCGCCAGAGCGGAAAGGAAGAAGGGCAAGTGGTCACTGCTACAGGACTGAGGATCACGCGAGTATATCTTCTGTAGGATTGACTCTAGAACAAAATTAGCACTTAACCCTCACAAGGCAGGGGTAGCCCCACTGCAAGGTTTAACTTTTCAATTGCCTGGAGCTCTTCTTTAAAGCCCAATCGGACTTTAAAATATAATTATAATCTTAGTTCACTTGAAAATTAAAAAAAATAAAAACACTCTCTGCAGTCACGATGCACGACAGCATCACCCTTAGCTAATCAGATTTGAAAACTATGCCTGCCTTCTGCTAACTAGTGATGTGCAGGGACTGTTTGCATCCCTGTTTGCTAAAGACCATGCGAAACATCGGATGACACCCCCCCCCCCCCCCCCCTCTCTCCC